CTTTTACAATTCAACCGAAGACTTTTACACAAACACATAGCAAACATACTTTGGAGTAAAGTTTTATAGACATACACACAATATTTCAAAAATATTTTTATATTTTTGGGAGAAAATGAAATAACAAACTTTGAATCATTCAAGTGTTCCTTAATCCATTGTAACTGTGCATTGGCTGCAACTGGATCCTTGGGAGTATTTGGATTTTTGTCAACACTTGCAAACAACATATCTAGAAATCCAGCTTCTGTAACATCTCGAGTATTGCCACAAAGTATGATTGTATCTATCATTAGAAATTCAACCAATGTACTATTTTCACCAAACGCATATGAGAATTTGTAATAGCTTGCTGGATACGTCCTAGAAATCAAATTTGAAATTCAGAATTAACCAAAAAAAATTTGAAGCGATTTGACAATTTTGTACAATAAACTTGCTTATAGAATAAATTTGTTAAAACTTGTTTAGAAAATATAAATTTTTCCAATATGCTTACCAAAATCACAATTTACGATGCTTTTTTAAAAAATTTGTGGTTAATAAAACTTTAATAATTGTATTGGTAAGACTTTAATATTCAAAATATCTCATCAAAATTATTGAAATTTTTTACCTATTAATTACAAGGCTTGAAAATTATGGCTCTTTTGTAATGTGATAATTTGCTAGTACTTTGAATAATTAAATAAACATGAATACCATCTTTGACTTTGATTAGTATAAGCAATTTCTCCTGATATATTCCCAAAATGGTCATGGTTACCAGCAATTAGGTACCATGGCTTTTCTAAAGCACTACCTTTATATACTCTTTCAAACGATGTCTGAAAATATTTTGGTAGTAATATTGGACTTTTAAATTTAAGAATTATATTAATATTTAGGACAGGTAATTTGTGCGAATAATCATTATTTTTTGTTTATTATTCAATAGTGACCACTCACATCAAATATAGTGAATTATTGTAATTTTAAATTATGACCTGAAATCGTTGATCGAATTCATCTGTAACTCCTGTAAAATAAATATTGTCGCCAGCTGAGACTGTGAATTCGATATTATTTTCAAGACCGATTTTTGATAATGATTTAGCAATTACATTTTGTGCATATGTACTATATGGATAAACAGGTAATCCTAAAATTTCAATATTACTTTTTAATATACAATAAAATTAAATTAAATTAAGTTAATAAAAGGAATATTTTCAGAAGTTGTACAAATTTTCAAAAATTTTACTAAAACAAATTCACTTTATAAAAGCTATACAAATATATTTTATATTGACTTGAATGAGAATGAAAATGATTAACAAATTTTCACCTCCAGTATCTCCTAGTAAAAAAAATGCAAGATTTTCCGAATTATTTCTATAACATATACCATTATTTACACAAGCCATTCGACATGAATAATTCCCGGGAATACATTCTAAAAATTATTCACTTTTGCTTACGTTAAAGAAATCAAAAATAAATTCTGAAAATATATCCGATAGCTATCAATTAATAATATTATTTTAAACAAAGATTAAATATTTAATTTGTTTAATTTTTCGATATTATTGTTTAAATTTTCATTGCAGAAAAGTCATAAATATTTTGATGAACAAGCAAAAATTATTAAGGCACACTATGAACACAACTAATAGTAACAAAAAAGGATAAAACATAGATTATTCGTTCAATATGCAAATACGACTGCTTTGAATAATTGCCTTTAGTGCATATTATTAAATGAATTTTGTGCATTAAAAAATAATTCAAAAACTAGCCATTACTGATATCGTTTTCAGTTTTCAAATTAATTTGAAGTTCGACTTGAGCAGAAGGAGTGGTTTCTTGTTGTAATGATTCGAGCAGCTCATCTGCCAAGCAAAACAGCGCAACGACAAATATTTGCGCAAATACTTTCAGCATTACTTTGAATGACAACTCGATGCAATCCAAGAATTTTTGTCGTAATGTTCACTGATTGAATTTTTTAAGAATTTACGATTAAGGTTTACGCTTTTCCAGTTTAATTTTTACTAAAAATGACCAAAATGATAGCAATCAATTGCAAAACCAAAACTTTTTAAAAATTTCATCTGTGAATAAGTTAAATTTTATAAAAATTTCATTTATTTATTGCTCCATCGATCAATGGGTGGTGTTGATCATGTAAACTTGATTGCTTAATCATTACTGATCAAAATACAGTATTAATTAATGAGTGCTTACCACAGTGTTAACTTTGCCATCGGCTGTTTATCATTATATTAATTAAATTGTTAATGAGTCATTGCAGTTTACACATAAATGAATGATAAATAGTTCGCATGTCTCAATCATATAATAAATTTAATTAATTCAGAAAACATTGAATCTGTAAGAGATATATTGTGAATGTGGGAAAATTATCATGATTAGTAACAATAATAATAATAATAATAATAACATTTATACTATTATCATAAAAAGAACAGAAAAGAAGATTAACCTCTGACCTGCCGCATACTATTATTATTAGAATTGCTCAAAATAACAGAAATGGTAATGCTGACAGCAAGATTCTAATAGCTAATTTTAGTGAAATATTCTCAGTCAATTACTTCAATTAGCAGAAAAAAACTATTGAAAAGGTGTAACTTTGTTAATTTTTCACAAAGTACCAAGTCATACATATTTAATTATTTTTTGCTTTCGTATGAAGAATTACTACATAAAAAGGGGCAAAATGTGCCAACAGAGTGTTTATTAATCGAAAACGAGAAGTATACTTCATGAAGAAGAAGCTGAAGTGCTCCTTCTCTGTGCATTCAGTTAGCTTCATGAAAAGCTACAATTTTCAAAAACAGTCCATAAATTTGAATATCAACTATGACACCTTAAGCATCAAAGATAAATTTTAACAAAGA